TACAGAACTACTTTTTAAAAAAAAAAAAAAAAAAACTGAAGGTAAATATTGCATTACAGAACAACTCTTCATAGGAAATTTCCCACAATTTTTTAAGTAGATAGAAATGAGGAAGAGCATACCTTCCAGTACTTGTGAACTGTCTTTGTTTCTGCCAAGGAAGGGAATAATCTGGAGCAGTATGTGTACAGTAAACCTTGAAGCAAACAACATGGAATGGAGGAAAATGAGTAAACACTACTAAAATTATCATGCAATCCATTTAAAAGCCATTCACAAGTGCACTTGCAGACATGTTGAAAGCAATTTTGACGGACCTATTGATGCCAAAAATGAAACTGGGTAAGATAGACTATCTATTGGGTGTACACCATTCTAAGTGCTGCATAAGTATAATTGAAGTATACTTTTTATTATCTTTCAACAGGAAGAACCAAACAATAAGAAAATAATTTCATGTGGGACAGGGACAACAACAACCTTACGAATGCCCAGTAGAGCAACTGTTGGTTCAAAACATTAGGGATACATCATACATGAGGTTATTTCATGAATTTCTGTTTCTAAGCAACTAAGGATAAGATGAGTACTGAAGTTGATAGTTTCCTGGGATCCCCTTTTGCTAAAATTTAATGATTCAAATGATCTACACCTTCACCTTGAGATTTGAAGATGAGGCATCCAAACAAATGGCATAATTACAACATTGCTATGTATTAAAATATATTCACCTTCACAACGGCATTAAGAAAAGCTGCATCTTGAATGCTGCCAGTTTCTACCTGGAAAAGAAAACCAACTTAGGTTCAGTGGTGTAGCACAATTGAAAACAATAGTTTTTGGCACATAATAGACTCAAAGAACTTGACAGCAATGTTTGCATTCAGTTGGCAAGCATTTGTAAACACAATGGTAATGAGATATAATTATGTGGGAGATGTTGTAAAAAAAACAATGGGAGAGTATCTGGTGAGTATCTTCAGAATGGTTGATAAATAAGGTGTGGCCATACAAGTAGGCATGAGTCTTTGTTCATAAGCTTAAATTCTTGGATAAAGCCTTCGTTAATTATCACCCAAATTATTTTATTTTTTAAAAATGAATACCCCAAGCAAATAGTTTGTTTATTGTTTTTTTAAAAAAAGAATACCCCGGCTTATTTGTCATGAAGCCAATTTCAATTTTTTCCCATAACTTAGATGGAATGATCTAAATCTATTGATCCATGCACTTCTCAATGGGTACTCCTTACACTTTGATAAGTTAAATATGTACGATATGTGTGACGCTGCTTACTATTTATGATTTGTTACATATCGGTTCTTGATTAAGTTTTCACAGAATTAAAATATTCTCAACTTTGAGGTGTTCAATCTTTGTTGATTGGCATAATACATATATGTGCCTTTTAACTTGACCTCATTTCACATTTATGCACTCCAACTTTGGGTGCGCACAAGTAGACACTTAAATTTATATAAAGTTGAACAAAAGTAGTCCTACGTGGCATAATACACATAGGACACCATGTAGGACTCAAATTACTATGTAGAATTGCCATGTAGTGAAAAAGTGCAAGCCTTTCATGTTCTTCTTCCCTCACCCCCCTCCACACCCACACAGAGTCACGGGACTAACCCCCTTTCCCTTGTTCTGTATATTTCTCAACGACAAGAAATAAGCCAATCACCAAAATAAAAGGAGAGAAGCAGTTGTGTTTCTTACCTGCTGGTCCTTTGAATCTAACAGAATTCCTTTCCCTTTTTTCTGCAGACCAAATGATTTAATTGCTGCTGATTGAGATCGTCCTGTTTCACTTGTACTACTCCTGCCATCTGCATTTGCAAAAGGCCCTTCATTTTTTGATCTCCGTGAAAACTTCGGTTTACCAGCTACTTTCTGAATTCATGGCTTGCTTATTTAATAGAAGTTTAGTTCAAAAACAACAAGGAAATACTTTTTCCCTAAATTGGAAGAAAGTAAAATGACTTGCTCCAATGAGCATAACCATAAGAACACTCAGTGCAGATAACAACAATTCAAATTGAATCATGTTTTTTAAGGACCAACAAGAAAAGGTGATTTCATTGTAAGAGATAGTTATATTTAAAGCTTGTGTGGATGTCTGATTCACAAAATACTTCTTTCAATCTTTATCATCGAGTAACAAAACCAGTAAACAGCAAACTTATGCTTTCAACTTATCTTAATTCCTATTTCAGGGGACATTCATTATCTCTTTTGGATCATTAAAAGCATGCAAGAGGTTAAATGAGTGAATACAAGCAAAAATATACACAAACATTTTTTGGCACTGTAAAATTGATGTAACCTTCTCATTCACCTAAATTTCTGGACTTGTCTCCATTCGTCATTTCTTATCTAATTTCAGGAAATATAAGTTTCAACATTAAAGTCACTCTTGTTTATGAAATGGACCTTGAGCCTTAACTCAACCCCAAAGGCTAGCTCAAGAGGTCAGGATTACCCAAGCCATATAAAAGACTGCCCATCCCCTTCACCATCGACGTGGGTCTTCTTCACACACGCTGTAATACCCTATATTAAAATAAGGGCATAATTGTCATTTAGCTCCCATTTAAAATAAAAAAAGAGGATCAGAATTTTTTTTTTTAAAAAAAGGGCTGAAAGCCCAAACAGAAGCAGCAGCAACGCTGCTACTTCAGGGATCAAAAGAAGAAAAAAAAAAAAGGGACTCTTCTTGTTCTATAGTGAGCGAACGAACGAGGAGAAACATAAATTTAAATTGAAAGCCTTAGCTCTCAAACTAAAGAGAGAGGTGGAAGAAGAAGAAGAACAAGAAGAAGGTAAGTTTCTTAACTTAGTCTAAAGGTTGAATTTGTATCTTCCATGACTATAAGATTGGGAATTGGGAAGTTGAGAAACATGGGTTTGGAAGAAAAAGAGGAAATTTATTTCGTTCTTATGAACCAAGTGAATATAGTCAATGATTTGAACTATAAACTTTGGTATTGGGCTTATATGCAATAAGAGTAATTGGGCAGTAAGGTTAGGTTGATCTTTTTACAGCGAGAATTGACCAAGAAGAGACTAATGTGTGTGATTAAAGCACTAATTAAGTGAGTGGGCAGATTTCGAATCAGTCATGAAACCTCTAGGGCTGAGTTTTTATTTTATTTTTAAATGTAGTATGAATTACCTAAATGAAGGAGTTAACACGAAATTATTATGAATGTGATTATAGATTGACCAAAGGAATTCGTACGGAGTGATTGAGTGGCAAGCTTGGTAACTCAACACAAGTACAGTGAGTAGTAATCTTACCACAATTGATGTTTTATAACTTGCATGACTTTCACATGGTTTATAAAGTAAATGTGTTATTGAATGTTTTGAACTTGCATGTGGGACAAGTCTTTTACTGGATATGATACTGAAAAGATTATTTGAGATGATATCATTCGTATAAGATATGATTACTGATATTGAAAAGGTTTTACACTTATTTGAGAAATAGTATTTTGACAAGTGATTGTTAAACTTTGAAATGATATGATTTGATAAGATTTAAATGCGTTGTTCGATTTTGAATTGTTTTTACTTATTACAAGAAAAATATAAATGGGAGTAGACCTTGATGAATCCCGTAGCTAACGGCGGGTTCGTTAGACCTGGTGCACCTTGTAGTTCTGATTACTGATAAAGCCCTTGCTAGTGGAAAGGTAGAACTAGTATACTGTTACTGATATCCCTCGAGTAGGGATCTACTGATATGAATAA